ATGAGGTGAAGCAAAGACTGCTCCTTGTATTTATGATTCAGACAAAACTCATTTTAAAATTACAGTTCTACAATTGATAAAACACAACCCAGAATTGACTTTGCACAAAAACAAATACAGTATACTCTTTTATTATCCCATGAAGGCCATGATGCGATGAAACAAAAAATCTTTGTTCTCTTATGCCTGCTTCATAAAGCTTAAACTGCTGGATAGGTCTAAAAGCAATGTACTCTTTAATGCAGTAATTTCATAAAAATTTCATGTTGCTCTTCATTTTCAGAGTGTGACTCTGTGGAAAACCTGGATGCCTGTGACAATGGGATGTGTTATCAGAGCTCTTTGCGCTGTGATGGCTTTGAAGACTGCACAGATGGCAGTGATGAACGGGATTGCCATGGTTTGTACCAGTCCAACAGCTGAGCATGCCCTAAATTCTATTGTATAATCTTTTTGCACAATAGCCTCATCTTATTTTATTTTTCTACATATGGAAGGACTCAAGTATGACAAGTCCTGTGGCTGCTATGTCATCTGCCAGAACAACACCACAATAAATGGCTCCATCACAACCTCAAATGCAACCACAGCAGAAACTGCATCAATTGACAATGGAGAACAGTGCTACAGGATAAGTCGTGAGTATGATGGGCTGTGTAGGGTAAGGGAACCTCTTAAAGGTACCTCACAAGCAATTGGACCCTAAATCATTGCTGGACTAGGGTTAAATTGCAAAGTTGTCAAATTGTGATACACTTTGTGAACTTGAGAAATATTAGCACAAAATGCAAAAAATGGCCAAAGCAGGTCAAATTCTGGGGCAGAGGTTGAATTGCAAGTCAACCTCACTGCAAATTTGACTGTTGAGTTGCTGGACAGTCAAATTGTAGGAGTTAAAATTGCAAGGTACCACCTGTACACTGTAATTGTTATTGGAGGCAGCAGTGGGATTATTTATTGCTTATTTGTTACTGCTTTTTTAATATCTAAAAAAAAATAGGTACTTTATACACATGATTTCTATTATATTTTTATGGTGCAGCATTTGATGGAGTTTATGATGGGAATGTGGAGAAGATCATGATGAGGACCAAAACTGCTGGGGAACTCACAGAGGCCAGTTCTCTGTTGGCTCCAAACCCAGAGGAAATCCGGAAATTTGGAGTCAGGGGTCAAGACTTTATTGTTTCTTGTTCCTTTGATGGTGTTCCATGTTCCTACAAGTGGGTTCCTGCCTTCAAGTATTTATATATGCAAGCAGGGTCATCTCAACTTCCAGGCACACTAAGTTAGAGGAATACAGTATAGTTCTAAAAATATAGTTCTTAAAAGAATATCCTTTTAAGTAGACAACATGCTTCTCTTATTTCATAAATACCTGATAAATTGCTATAAAGTCTTACAATAATAGCAAGAAATTCAATGTTTTTAATAAAACATTGTTGTTGGTTGCAAACTGCTGAAGAATTATTCTAGCCAGGGTTTGGAATTTATTGTGACAATAATTGATTTCTATATATGGATCAGCCATGGTTAATGCATTCCTGAAGAGTTGCTGGCTGAATTTAATAAGAACCCCATTATTCACAAGATGAATTTTTCAAATGTGTACAGGGACTTCTACAAATGGCAGAACCAGGAGTATGGGAACTGCTTCACATTCAATAGTCCCTTATTGGCTGTGGCAACTGGAGGTGAAGACAAGGTCTACAGCACCACCAAGTTTGGGTCTAGGGTATGTTTGCACTTATGAAAACCTTCAAAATTCAGTGTTGGATATATTTCCATTTCAAATATTTTCTGGGATTGGTCCATTTCCCCCCCCCCCCCCAGTATGGACTAAGGCTGTCACTGAACATAGAACGTGATGACTATTTGTCATCAGTGACCCCAACACAAGGAGCCAGGATGCTCATCCACAACAGAGCAGAAGTTCCTTTTCCTGCAGAAAATGGCATTGACTTGTCACCACTTCTAGAGACTTCTGTGGATGTTAAAAGGGTATGATGTGATATACTTTGCCACTCACAAATTGGGACTGCAGTATGGGACCCCAAAATGTGGACACCCTGACATACATGCAATTTGACTTATTAGTGACACTATAGAAAACCAGAAAAATCAGGCAGCATCCAGCAGACATTGGCTCAAGTTAGGGACACTTTTCTAAAATTTTCTCAAAAAATGAAAACATTTAGTTTTTCATTTTGATATAATCTTTTGAAGAAATCAAGCTTCTTACATTCACAAAAATTAAAAAATATTGCATAATAAATTCATTCTAATTTATAAACAAAAGCAAGCTGATTCTGTGCTTCTTTTTTTTAAAGGTTTTTTTCATCATCTGTGCATATTCTATAGCAAAACTTATTCTGTTTCTTTGCTTTTTGATCTATACTTTTGAAACAAAAAGTTCAGATTCTATGTAGTTTTGTTCTGCACTGTTGTTTTCTGCAATTTGAAGTTGAGGGAAACAATTTTTATTAAATTTTTTGAGGACTTATTATGTCTAATTTCTGACAAAACGGAGAACCAATGAAATTCATTAGCATTGAAGTCTAAAAGGAAGATGATGAGACTTGACTTAGGGACATTCTGGATTCAGGACACTCTTGATGCACCAATTACATCCACATCTTGGGGTCCCACTGTATATCTGCAGAACATTCAAATATTTAATTTTTGTTTTTTCCACAGAAACACCTGCAAAGAGTGCCTTCTCCTCATGGAAAGTGTGATCAGGAGAATGAATTCCTCTGGCAACAAGAATTCAATGCAAGCTACTCATCACTGGTGAGAACCTTATATATACTTCATTACTTTTTGAATAATATGCATATTGAAATGTTCATTTCATTAAATGGGAGAAATTTGTTCCTGTGATTGTTCTTTGAAGGTGGTACAGTATATACCTTACTTATCCATCAAACCCCTTTACAAATGTTCTTTCAATGTGCAACAATTAATGACTGATTGCAAAAAAGGGCATACTTATTTTTATATATAGGCCTGTACAGAAGTTTGCAGAGAAAGTTTGATTCGCAAAAGATGTGGTTGCAGCAAGTCTCTGAATCCAGTCTTTCATGGCTATGACCACCAGCTCTGCAGTCTCTCCAATCGCACTCAAAGTAAATTAAATAAATTAGAGATTTTCAAGGAAATTTGACAAAACATTTCTTCAACTAAACTATTGTCAGGAACATGTGTGGACCAGACAACAGAGTTGTTCCACTCTGGAGATGCTCAAGTGCGCCAAGAAGCTGGCCAAGGATGCCTCAACTGTGCCCCAAGTTGCAATAAATTGACTTTATCTACTTTACAAATTAAATATTGATGCAAAATTCATGTTTTTTACAAGCATTGAATAAATACCCTTTTTTCTCTTCCCGGATTACAAAAACAAAATATCAGTAATAAGAATTGCACCATAAGACAATTACTGGAACCAAACTGAAGCACAAGGTGTTCAGCCTGCTTCCAGGATGTATTTAAATCAGTTTTACATTTTGGGATGTATTTTCTTTTCTGTTAATATCCACATATGCAGCTTATTTCTCTGTTTTACATATTGATGTGACAGAATGTGGGTGGGGAGGGGAGGTGGTTTGGAAGTAACCTTGTGAATGCTGAAATGTGGGAAGTGAATAAGCTTGCTGTTCAATTCAATTCAATACAAACAGTGAGTGGGTATTTGAGGAGACCACATCAGGAGCCATCACAAACAAACTCTTCACCTACATGTTTTCCAGCATCAACAAAGTGTTCCTCACGGATGATTTTTGTGCTGGGCAAGTGCTGAAATTTCACTCCCTTTTATTTCATAATTCAAGAGTGCTTGATTTCATCATATACAGACCTGGTCAAAGTCAAGAGGACTCTGGAACTGTCCATGCCCATGTTTATTTGAACACTATGTCACATGAGTACATTGAGGAGTCACAAGCATTCACAGTAAGTCACAAAAACTGGCAACTAAGTGCAGAACTTATTTTTCTTCATTTTTTTGCAGTTTCTACAGCTTGTTTCCAATATTGGAGGCATTTGGGGTCTTTTTGCTGGCTTCTCCATCATCACATTCATAGAATGGGTTGAAGTTGCTGTGAACATGCTTCACCTTTGGGTCAAGAGGATGAAGGCAAATATCAAAGCCAAAAAGTGCTGCTATCACAAGGAAACTGTCACTAAACAGGATTCAGCAAGTGACTCTTCAATAAGTGATCAACCCCCTGATGATGCACCTGATTCAAGTCTAAGGCCTGACAATCAGCAGAAGCAGAGATCATCTTTGTAGCAAATACTGTACATAATAACAGCTGCTTATATAATAACTAAACAGTTTATGGTTTACAGAATTTATATTCTCCATGCAAAATGGGAATTTTGTTTCTATGCCCCTTTCTACTATTTTACAAATGCTTTCTTATCTCCTTATTTATTGCTTTTTTCTTTACATTGTTTCCTTCTTTTTTGGCAAATCCAATTTTTACTATTATATGCTGAGTGTATATATGTATATATTATACTCACATGCAGCTGATATTGAACCATGAAATCAAAGTTTTTTGCATCATTGTTGGAAAAACCAGTTTCTTGCCTGCTGCACAGGTATTATTTGAAATATTTAGGCTGAAAATGTCTTTCTTTGGTATTTAGCCTTTCTGCTGGAATCATCATGCATCACATTCTGATTACATGAAAAGATAAGACTGCCTCTTTCATTCCTGCTGCTGGGTTATCACCATGAAAAGAAGAAATCTTTGTGATACAGGAAAGACCCTCTTATCTCTGCAATGCACCAGTACAATGAAATCCATTCTGCGTCACAGCATTTACACATTCAGGATTTCCTCTACTTTCTGCATGTGCATGTGTGAAGTGTTTTCCTCATATATGTAGCACTGAATTCCCTTTCATGAACCATCAGAACCGTGCAACAGTGGAATAGCTTTGGTATTGCTAAGAGAAGTAGGATGTTATTTGTGGTCATGGATGATTAATTTTTGTCTTCAAACAGACTCACAAGAAAAAAAATCCAAAGGAGTTTCAAAGTGAAAGAAGTGGATGTACTTATTTTTTGAAATGGGTTGAGTTTGACTGGAAAGTTTTGGCAGTGAGGGACTTGAGGTGGTTGTTTCAAGATGGAACAACAAGGTGGAGGTGGTGTTGATGTTGGGAGTAACACCTATTCTGCTGGTTGCACCCATGCTTCAGAAGACTGGAGAATGTCAATGATGGGTGCCACTGACCAAGGCAGGAGAAGTACAACCTTTGCAGAAAACAAGACATGGAAGCTGAAAAGTCTGAGGGTTAGAAGACTTACAACTATACATTTCAAGATCTTGATAAACTTTATGAGAGGCAAATAATCAGTAAAATACTCTCACTAGAATTCTGAAATCACTTTCCCTGCTGATGAGCTGGAATCACATTCAATAAATGACAATAATAAAATGAAATATCATAGTAGAGCATTGCGGATGATTTTAAAGTAAGGTTGATGATTTTTCATGTCAAACACTCACTCTTGATTATTCAATTCAATTTTTTCTAAGCCTTTAGAACTTGAGTATTATGATTCCATACTTGGTAAAATTTCTTCATATATATACCATGTTAAGAAGTATCCATAGTCATAGGATACTTTTTTGAGTCAGGATTATTTCCTGAAATGTTGTCTCAATCCCACAATACCATGATGTAGAAAATGCTTTTCAAGTATACTGTATTTACTCAAGTACCACGCGCCCTTGAGTATAAGGCACGCAGAGGGGTTTTTGAGTTGGAAATTTGCTAAAATTTTATCCCCAAGTAAGACGCGCACCCCAATTTTTAGTGAATCTGAAACCACAAAATTTTGCAAATAAAAACCAAAAAAATTGACTTTAGGCATGAATTGAACAAAAATCTNAGAAGTGAAATACAAATGAAATAGATGCACACCACGTTTAAGGTTATTTTTTGCTTTTTGAAAATGTGGTTTTTTAGATTAATTTTTTAATCTACTAAATTTTTTCTTCTGAAATTTGGGAAAAAAGGTGCGCATGGTACTTGAGTAAATACAGTAAATATTTTTGGTTATAAGACATATACCCAGCAAATATTTAGGCATCCTGGCAACCATCTGAAACCCATATCAGATGCTTCAGGGATATGTTTATGAAGCATATCCTGAAATGGTCTTACAGGACAATATAGATATGCCTATATATGTTAAGAGCCCTCACAATTATAAGTTGGTTCTACAGTACAACTTCTCCATATTTCTACTTCATGCATAAACATTCAAATGTTTTTGTTTCCTTTTGCCCTTCTCTTATTGTCCTGACAGCATAATGGCTGTTTATGAGCAACTGATTGTTTCTGAGATTTTATCATTCAGACAATTAAAGTACAGGTACCCTCTACAAAAGCAGAAATACAATTCTGGTTTGACATTTATTTAGTTTTCCCTTCACTCAAAATTTTATTGCATGTAGAAAAAGTTCAAAGTGAGGGACATGGAGTCCAAGTACCAGTTGTACCAGAAGAGACTACAGCATGCCCAGTTTGTTGTATACCTCTTGATGCAGACAGCCATCAGCCTGGGAAGCTTGATCTTCTCACTCACTTACCATCCAAAGAGCACCTATATTCACACTGACAATCAACATGAGGAAGAGGCTCTGAGTCACATGGCTGTTCATGCAGCAGTGACCCTTGTGTCAGCCAGTCTGATGGCTTATGTGTACAAGGAGGCCTCTTTCAGAACAAGACCGCTGTTGCATTTCCTGGCATCTGCTATAGTGTTTGTCACCTTGGAGTCCATGCAGGTGGTGCTTCTGTATCTCAGGTATATGCATGTTTCATTGTATTTACAGTAAAATCGATTACACGACAACTTGCACAGCAACAACTCACACAGCGACAACTCACATAGCGACAACTCACACAGTGCGACAACTCACACAGCAACAACTCACATAGTGCGACAACTCACACAGTTCTTTTTTTTTTTTTACTTATTTTTCTTTTTTTTTTGTTCAGGTTCTGGCAAAAATGTATACCTTTTTTGTGTCNAATTCTCATCTTCTTTCCTTGTCTGAAAGCAGTACAAAAAATCTCTTTCTGACAACGTGGTTTTTTAGATTAATTTTTTAATCTACTATAATTATTTCATTCTTAAAAAAAAATATTCTTATAATTATTCTTTTCACAAAAGATTGCATTATCATCAGTTTCTAAGCTATCCTGAAAGTTTCAGCTTGCTAGCTAGTCAGGAAGTGAGCAAAATTTGAGTTGCAAAATTTGATGCGGACAAACAAACGGACAAGAAAGCGAGTTAATAAAAACATGTTAAAAAGGAAGAACAAGCTGTTGTTGCACATGGATATTGAAAGAAAAGAATATACATCCCAAAAAGTGTAATCACACAACTGATAAAAATGCATACATTTTTTTATTTTCACAAGATTTTCAAATTTTTGTTATAACAGGATTTTTAAAATGATTGACTGGGAAGTTTTTTAAAAATTAAACCTGCATATTTTCAAGTTCTCTCTTTTGTGGCCTGTCAAGATGTTTTTCCACACTTGAAAACTGTAAATAAATGAATTGGAATTTAAATTCAAAAAATGTTACTTTGAATATAAAGTTAACAATAAGTACTTATGTGGACTTTGCATTTTTCTAAGCCAGTCCTGAACTGATTTGCAAGGGTGGATTTTCCAAAAAACAAAAAGCCTACAGTTTAGTTGAAAATCAGTAGGGTTTCTCAGACATCCAAATTCTCTTTTAACAAGAACTTTGCTGCTGGGTTCATTTTTCATCTTCCCCCTTCCAAAAACAGGAACATGTTTTCAAACAGAGGATTATGTTCAGGAGAATTATGAAGAATATTGGTCCTTGATTCCACCTTCCATTTATGTTCCAAGAATAAGTCATGGTTGAATGTAAACTTTTGTACTGTACATGCCTTCATTGCAGATTTTTCATTTTAAAAATCTCAACATGTTCCTTAAAAAAGTTTGTTACACTGAAATATTGGAGAGTTTGTTGTAACACAATTTTTATGACATGTACCCTATAGGATGTCTGTTTGGAATGATAACAAATTTTTTTACTGACATATTTGTTGTATCAAGATTTTACTGGGTGTAACCAGAATCTCCACTATATATAATCTGCCAAAACTAGCATATTTTTTCTTTGCTGCTGCTGTGTAAATATTTTTCAGTTCTGGAGGACATGAAACTGAATCCTCAGCAGCCCAATTGCAGGACTGGAGCTTCTACACAGTAATTGTGTGCTATATTTTCCTGCCTCTGCCAACTAAGTTCCAGGCTTTTGTGCTTGCCATGATTGTCAGTGTGGCCCAGCTGACCCTGGTAGCTGTCCAAAATTACTTTTTTGATGAGGACAGGGCCATCAACAGGGTGAATTATTTTGCCAAACAAAATTACTCTCCTTCTTCTTATGTATACAAAACAAATTCCACTTCTTTTAATCATTGTTTCAGCTCCTTGCTGATATGCTGATGATTGCTTGTGCAAATGGCTTAGGACTCTATTACAGAATTATGTTTGAAATCGCAATCCGCCGCTCTTTCTTGGACAAGAGAGCCTCAATATACTACACCATGAGACTCAATCAGGAAAAGAAAAAAGAAGTGAGTAAGATTCAGTATCCTCATTCCTTTGCTGATATGAAGAAACACTGATGATCTCAGCCCAAAAACATTCAAATGGCCAGGAAAACCTGCTGAAAAGCATCCTGCCAACCCACTTGTCAGAGAGGGTGAAGACAGACCTGAGAGAATCACTGAAATCTCCAGAACTGGAGACCTTTGTTGGCAGGGACCCATTTTCCAAGGCCTACTTTGAAAAGCACAGCAATGTCAGCATATTGTTTGCTGACATTGTCAACTTCACACCACTCACTACTTCCATGGAGGTTGGGGACCTGGTTGCCATGCTGGATGAACTATTTGGAAAATTTGATGAAGCAGCTGAAGTAAGGCTAAACAAACAGTTTGAAATCTCAGGTATATACATCTTTAAGTAACCCTTTTTTTCTTTCAATGACAGAAGTACAAATGTTTAAGGATCAAGATCCTGGGTGACTGTTACTATTGTGTGTGTGGGGTTCCAAAGAGCATTGAAAAACATGGCATCATGTGTGTCAACATGGGGCTCAGTATGATCACAACCATCAGACAAGTCAGGCATGTAATTTATTTATTATAAGTTTCTAAATACAGGGAATGTTGGAGTGGTATATCTATAGTTTCAGTTGTAGGATAATATTTTTTATTAATGATGCCTCAAAATGTTTGATGATGAACATTAAACCAACTGACTCTAAATGCAAAATTGAAAGGATTGGATGATATATCTCTCTTACTTAACATTTCATTGAAAAAAAAGTTTGTAATTTGACACAATACTAAAATATAAATTAACTGATGATACCTCTGATAATTTTGGTTAGCATGATGGGCTGCTGCTTCTTTGGAAGACTTTCAGTTCATGAATTTTAGTAGTACATAATTTTTGTGCCAGAATGGGACTTATCTGATTGTTTGAAAATCAGGTTCAGAGTTGTAATGCAAGACCATGAAATGCATAAAGCTGATACAGTATTACACTTTTTGGGTATTTTTTTGTATATATTCTGCTTATAACATTACAACAATAATTTCAGGCATGTACAATATGGATGTTTTTTTTTTTAATATTATTCAGGGATGAAAGAAAAGCTGATGTGGACATGAGGATTGGGATCAACTCAGGTTCAGTGTTCAGTGGAATCCTGGGGAAGAAAAAGTGGCAGTATGATGTCTGGGGCACAGATGTGACCATAGCCAACCATATGGAGCAAGCTGGAGAACCTGGTTGTGTGCATCTCACACATGCCACAAAGGTGTTATGTTCTACAGGGAACCAATTACCAGCCTCCTTACTGCGCCCTGGGCACCAGGATCCTTACTTGCAAAGTCACAAAGTTACCACTTACCTTTTGCCAGCTTCTGATGAAGCCATCCAGGCTGCCAACCATGCATTTGAATCTGAAAGGAAAAGCTGGTTGGTATTTTGCATTGAAAAAGCAGCTGCAATCAAGTGCTGTAACTCAATGTGAAACTTTAATAGTCTCCTTTTTTCTCTCTCTCAGGTTACAGGGTAAGTCTGCAGTCATGAGAAAGGTGGCCAGGGTGAGTGTCACAATAATCCTTTAATTGAAACAACCATTTCATATAATAAAAGGGAATCCAATGATTCCTTGTAGAAGAAGACAGCACACAGAAATAAATCTGAGTCATCAATCTCACAGTCCAGCATGGGCCAGCACTCAGACATGTCTGCTAACCCTAGGACATACTCAGTATCATATGATGGGAATGCATTGTCCTCCAGCAGGAGACAAACAGCTAATGTTGAGCCAGCTCTGTCTGAATTCCAGTCCATCACAAACAAGGTGGATGTCTACATGAAACAGGCTGTTGAAGGAATGCCTATTGCCAAAATGGAGTGAGTGCTATATTCAAGGAGTAGTACTGTATATCACAATTTATATAATCATGATGCATTCCAGTCACATACATGAGAGAGTTTTTCAATTTCTGTATTTAGTCAATGGTTCAAGCCAGACAATGTCCACCCACTTTTCTTGACTTTTCATGGGATGGAGAATGAGGTGCCCTTCACAGTCCAGGAAAACCCAACTGTCAAGTTCTCTTTCTTTGCAGCAACCAGTGTGTTTCTCATCACTGGTCTCGTGCACTTCCTGGTCATCAATGTGTGAGACAAATTTCTATTCATTTATTACTTTCTTCACAATAATGTTGCAAAGTAACCATCTTCTTTTAAATTACCTTCATTTATATGCAGCAGTCAGCACATACAGTATATGCATACTTCAACTGCTTTTTCTGTTTGTTGAAGCAACTATATATAGAGTGTGGAACAAAGTGAACAATTGAAAATGGTTGTTGTTATATTAAAACAAAGCTGCTGCACATAACTGAAATATCAATAGGACAATAGCAGTCAAGAATTTATATTAGAATATACAAACTCTACCCAGCATGGAAATTAGTCATGTTATAGACTTCATCTGCATGCTGGTGATAAAAAACAATCAAAAGCAATATTATATACTGCAGTCAACTTTTGCCCAACAGACCTCCTGCACAACGGATTTTTATACAACAGAGAACAGTTAGACTGCTTCTGGAGGCAGTTTTCCCTCCTGCACAATTGACTAGATCTGAATAACAGAGTTAAAATTAATGGTAAAAGGTGAAAATTTTAAACTTTTAAGACTTGAATTTGCACAACAGACTTTTCACACAACAGACTATTAGCCTGTAGCCCAAATTAAGTCCATTGTGTGGGAGTTAAATGTACCATATATAGTCTGAAAATGCTGTGGGAAAATTGATGCATTAATCTAAATCTGTGGATAGCATATGGTATTTTGATATGAGAACTGTTCAGAATGCATATACTGTATACAGTATACAGATACATTAAATGGGACATTTGGTTTCAAAAGGAGGACTGTTAGTGTCATCTGGAGTGTAGGCATGGCAGTGTTGGTGACTGTGACTCTGCTCTCCTGGGCAGAGGAGCTCTGGCACTGGGCTTTCAACAGAGACCATTATGATGATTCTGATGATGAAATGGATGACAATCATGGCACTCACAACAGTCAATCAGCTGGGAACCGCACAGGGAGTGGCATCAGCTGGACACCCAAGACATGGCTCCACTGGATCTCTCAGTGTTTTGTCAAGAATTTCCAGCTCAGGGTGGCAGGTTTTGTCCTCATTTGCATTTTCACTTGCTTGACATCCAACCTGCCACTGGTAAGGGGCTATTAAAAAGTTCTGGTTATTCATTCCATGTGCCCTAAGAAAAAATGTCCTCAAATTGCAATAAACATTATATTCTGCATGAGATAAAGTCTCATCATCTGAACTTTGTCTTCATCATCAAAATCTGGCTTTTTTTGGATGAGGTATAGTAGCATTGAAAAGTATAAAAAGCATTTATAAAAGCATTTATAAAAAGCATTTATAAAAGGTGATTGATGGAAAAAGATTACTCATGGAGTAATAATAACTCATTGCTGGAGGATATATTAATATTATTTATTGATTATTTGATTAATAAACAAAACAATATTCCCACATCCAAACCCCCTCCCCTCCCCACCCACATTCATCCAAATAGATTGTCATCACATCAGAATGAAAACGAAGAAATCAGCTGTTTATGAGTATTAAGGAAAAGGAAAATGCATCACAAAATGTACAAAGGCTCAACTTATGTAAATATAGATTACAAAAAGAAAATATCAGCAATATTATTCCCAATTTCCTCCCAATATTCTTTTGACCCAATTGTTCCTACAATTATTTCTCAGCATAGTCATGAATGCATAATGACCAGTATCAAAATCAAAGACCAGGAAATGAAAACCATCATTTATTCAGTAAAATTATCGATTTCAGCATTACTGCATGTCAATTGAAGTGGAAGGTAACAAGACCAGCAGTTCACCAACTCAGCCATCTGCTGCTGGAGGGTTTCCAGAATATGGAAGAGGTGTTCAATGCAGTTACCCAACTGTGAGTTTCCATTTGAGACAAGAAAAAAAACTGAAAATGTTTGTGTCAAAACTGAAACAAATATGTTTGAATGGCTTTTGTTTTGCACATGCAGTATTCATCCAGGATGCTGATCCTCAGCCTGGCCACAACATTTGTCTTCTACCGTGGACACTTTTTCATGAAACTGCTGACTATGCTGACCAACTTTGTGACCTTTGCCATTCTGGTTGTTCATGAGAGGTCAGATTTGTTCATAGACCCCAGGTCAGGCAAGAACATGGGGCCATCACACCTCCAGATGCTCATGATCATCATGATTGCATTCCATGTCATTGACAGACAAGTGAGTCATCAAACATCAAATGTATAGTGAAACATTATTCAAGATAAGTGCTGATGATGTGATATTCTATAAATAGACTGAATACTTATTCCGCCTGGACTTTGTTTGGAAGAAGGACCTCAACCATGACCTGGAACAGGCAGAAGTGACTAAAAAGGTCAATGGATTCCTTTTGCGCAACATTCTTCCTCAGCACGTTGGCAAGTCATTGTTTGAATGGTTTTTTCCATATATTTGATAAATTATGATCATCGCATTAACCTTTTTTGTGATTGATTGATAAACAAGCTTTAAATTTTTTGCTTTCAGGCTCAAATAATCTTCCCACATCCAAACCCCTCACTACCTCCCTTTAATCTGACCTTTTTTAAACCTTTCTTTTCAATCTGAGAGACTTGAGAAACTTCCTCATTTTGTATCATATAGTTTTTAGTTGTGTGTCTGCTCTTGGCACACAGAAAGTAGGAACACCTCTGAACAGTGAAAAAAAACACATTTGAAATTTCTCAATAATTATTATTTTGAGAAATAATGTCAATGCAATTTCTGCCAGGACTTTAAAAACTGTTTCAAAAAAGTTTAGTATGATTTTTAATAACAAATATACATCTTAGACTGAAACAGTCTATTCATTTCTATACAATTTTAAATTTCAGCTGAGAAGTACCTGAATGCTGGAAGCCAAATGACAGAGGATGCAGCGCCCCCTAGCCACCATGAAGAGTACAGAAACGTGGCAGTCATGTTTGCTTCCATCCCTGACTTCTACTTGGATGCAGCCAAGGGACCTGATGAAGACAACAACAACAAGACAGCCCAGTCCAGTTCCTACACTGGAAATGAAGTTTTTGCAAAAGAAGTGGAGTTCCAGCCTGACAACAAGCTCACTCTGCTCAACCAACTCATCTGCACCTTTGATGATGTTAGTTTTGGCTATTTTCTACATGTTTTTTCATATATATATATACACATACAGTCAGGCATTTTTATGCTTGAGCATCACAAAAGCAAATGCCACTATACAAATTATACAATGAGAAACACATCATCGATTTTGTGAGAAACAATATATGGTTATATATAATCAATTAATCATATTCAGTAAATGCCACAAAATGAGGGTAAAAATATCTGAGTCATGGGAAGCTTTAATACAGTATATATTGTACCTGTAGCACATGTTCTTGCTTGACATGTCTTACTGACAAGCTTTTTGAGTGGTAGGATGATATCTTCCTCATGTATATCTGAACTTGAATTATGCATAGTCATATATGTTGGATTCCCATGCACTGCTGTATTACATCTTAGGTCAGCATTTTTTTGGATGACTTCTAATAAGAGAATTCCAGTTGAAATTATCTGTGAAATCCTTTCCTCCTCAACATTGAACTCCATCTTGATTTGGTGGTCATTTGTGATGAATAAAATATATGTACTGCAGATACTACTGGATATCAGAATTGTTTTAGCACATGTTTTCCACTATATATGTGATCAGTTCAGGCAGATATCATAAAGCATTATACAATATTACATTCATGTGTTCATTTAAAAGGCTTGCACATTTTGTCAAGGAAAGATACTGTGCATAAATAGGAACAATAAAAAATCTTTGTCATACATTATGCAATAAAAGTGACTGATATCCAAAATTAAATGTTTCAAAAATGTGCTGATCTGCTTTTCAATTGCACAATAACACATGCTAAATTTCCAACAGCTCCACCTTCTTCAGCAATTGAAACATTCCAGATACTTGCTTGCAATAAATATAAACCTCATGGTTCCATTTCATGCAAATACAGTACATTCTTGGATAGATGAAAAAATGAGTCTATCGGGAATATTATAATTACAGTGGCTAAAAATGCATAAACTGTGCAATGTTTACCTTTGTGCATAGGTTTGGTATGTTCATTTTCTCTCATAATAGACAATGTAAGTGTGTGGCATCATATTTCACAAGGACTTTGATGGATTGCTATGGCACTTGAATTATGCTTGTGTTTCTATATACTGTGCAGTGAGACCCTAAGATAAGGACATAATTGGTGCATGCTTGAAGAGTGTGCCAAAGTCAAAATGTCCCCAAGTTGAATCTTGCTTACCCTTAGACTTAAATTATATACTTTTTATTGGTGTTTTATGGAAGAAATATTCATCAGAATTCCATGGAAAAAAATTGTCTGCCAATTGAAACTGATACAATCAACATTTTACAAAACAATAAGGACATTTGGAGTATCAATGGCTGTACCTCTGGACAGTACATTAAAATGTTGGCATTTAGAAAAAATAATATTTGAGTCAAAAATATAGAGAAGGAAGTCCCTCTATACTGGAGGTAATTTTTAAAAATTAGCTGCTTATATTGTAAAATGATTAGAGAAATGCCAAAATTTTGTTATTACATATAGATCTTGATTAGGATTGCAAATATCTATTTCTTGTAATTTGGCCTGAAACTTATTTGCACAAAATGTCTGCATGCCAAGTCAGTGTCTCTTTCATGATTTAAAAAAAAGGAAAATAAGTGCCTGTATGACAAATTGTCTGCACATTGAGGTGTCTGCACCATGTGGGGGTATCACTGTAAAGTTCTGTATTTATATATATATTATAGGTGCTGATGTGTGGTGATGAGTCCTTTGAAGCAGTGGAGAAGATCAAGGTGACAGGGGCCACATACATGGCTGCTGTGGGCCTGGAGACAGTGCGCAAGTCCTCAGGGTCCTCAGGCAGTCGCCCAGGCAGGTCCTCTGTCTTGATGGACTCCCACCTCATCCACCACCACCACCATTTGCATGGGACCTACAACAAGAGATCAAGGAGCTCTGACCAAGTGACGCACTCGTCATCCCAATACAGGGACTCTGTGGACTCCCTGGGCATGTCTGAGTCTGAGCTGAAGGCTGCAGAGAATGCCAAGACCATGGTCCACTTTGCTGTCAAGCTCCAGCAGCAGTTGAAAAAGTTCAATGACAGCACTTGTCAGCAGTTCAAGCTCAGGGTTGGTGAGTTGTGTCTCCTTCTCATTCATCATTGCAGTATATACATTTTCAACTTTATAGTCTTCACAATTCCAAGAAATTAAGAAAAAACCAAATACAGTCAAGTCTCAGGAGGGATCATAAGTCAAAGTCAGAGGGAAACAAAAATTCAACTTGGGCCTGTGGGAGTCTTTGACTATGCGCAAAATTAGCACTTTTGAAAGAAAAAGTGTTGAAACATTCACAAGAGGGTAATATTTGTGTTCTTTTGGGCCTCAAGTAACTGATGAACAAATCAATCTAGGTTCTCAAGCATTGTATTCAATGAACCTCCAGAACCCACTGCACAAATTTCATTCCTCTTCAGAAATCTTACAGAAAGCTGGTCACTGCCTGTGCAATTAACATGCTTCTCTTTATTTCAAATACAGTGGCCCCCTGCCTAACAGACCTCCCG